CTGTATGTTGTTCCTTAGTACAAGTTGTGCGTTGTTATCCATTACTTTTAAATGCAGCACATTTTTTAAATATATATATATATATATATATATATATATATATATATATATATATATATATATATATATATGACGGTTCCGTATATGATACAGGTTCGAATACTGTCGAAGGTCGAATATTTTGTATGAAATTTTCTCGGACATTCAGGCTGTTAAATGTTATTTAATACTGTCTATTTAAGAGCATTTAATTAAATACTTGTATCTATAAAAGAATGTTAAACATAAAATTGCCTTTAAATAATTGTCGGACATTGTCCATTTCATAATATATATATATATATATATATATATATATATATATATATATATATATATATATGGGGTGGGCAAGATAATTTTAATTCCTTTTCCAGTTTTTTCTTTTATGGGAATTAATGGTATAATTTGGACGCAGTGTCTGTCGAAATACTCCAAAATAATTTTCAATCATAGTAATTTCTGTTAGGCTGCCAGCCGTTTTCAAGGATTTCTAAAATAAATTCATTACCAGACATTCAATTATCTTGAACTAATTTGGTATTGCCTATCATATTTGCGTTCTCAACATCTCTGGTCATACAATTTCAGACATAGCCCTTAAGAACAGCAACTGCGGGCACAGCCAAAATGCACTGGCAATATTCGAGAATTAAAAGAAATGCCTTTTAATTTCAGCAAATTATACAGCGTTTCCCGTAATAACTATAATAAACTATATTCCATTTACAACAACATTGTAAAAATACTTGAAAAATTGAAAAAAATATTTTGGTCTCATTCTCGCAGATATTATTATTTCAGTATCGTTCTGTTTCTATTCATCTTTGAATTCGATGTCACCATTGCCGATCGATAATCCTCAAAAAATTTGTTAAGGAATTTTTCTCTGTATCTTTTTATATTTCTGAGATGAGGTATTATGCACATTGTCTACATTATTCGGACTACCTCATCTTTGTCGCCATATTTATTACAACGTTTAGGCCATTGTACGCTCCGGCCTTCTTTAGGTAGTTGGAATGTCGAACTGAACCCTTTATTTCGCTCACTGGGGTAGACTGTTCTAGTTCCACGTGTCATGTTTCAATAGATGTCAGTTATCAGTTATCTCCTCATAATTCACCTCTATAATTTTTCCACTGCCTTAACCGGATATTGAACTCATAGACTTTGGGTTCTGTCACTGGATCTAACTAACGCCATTATACATTGTGCCATGTGTCCTTGAGGACATCTGTGTATGAATTTCTGGGCATTATAAACCTAATGTATTCAGCAACCGTTTTTTTACCAGTGCTCATATTGAAATTTTTGCTGTTATCATTGCATGATTTTACCAGAGCTCATATTGCAATTTTTGTTGTTATTATCGTTTTCTCTGGCACTCCTTATTACTAGTTCCGATATTGCATTCATTTCTATGCTTGGTCGGCTCAGGAGATATTTGTGGTCTAGCATATGTGCTGATTCCTTAAGTTTACGAATTTTCCAATGGTGTGCTTTGTCTATGATCTCAACCTTATCCCACAGAGGTTGGTGATCTGCCTTCTCTCTCCATATGTGGTCAGCCACGCCTGATTTTTCCAATCCCCTCGTGTTACAGCTTTCTGGTGTTCTTGAAGCCTTACCTTAAGGGGGCGGCCTGTCTCCCTTTTATATTTCTTTCAGCAGCTCCACAGGATAGCGTACACACAGTCTTTAGTTATGTTCTCGTCTACGGGTGTGGGGGGGTCTTAGAATTTTTCTCATATAGCACAAAATGGAACTGAACTGGAAAAAGAGTTGTAACGCTTGATTTTTGAATTAAGGTATCAACTTGTAATGAAAAAGAAGAAATCATATTGTGATAAAATATATTAAATCCAAAGCATATATTGAAGATACATAAACTCAAATTAAAAAAAAGAAAAAAAAAAGAATAAAATAAAATAAAAAGCACCAGCTTAGATCCATAACACATTTAAAAACATGGGTTCAAATCTTATCTTCACTAGTTCCAGCAGAGTTCAAACTATGACCTTGGAAAAGTAATAGATTCATCCGTCCAAAAATGATAGATCCAGAAATTCTTCCTCTAAGGCAATTAGAATCCATTACCATAAACGAACTGCGAGGTTACTGAATAAATTGATTTTTGAAATATAAAACGTGCGTGACCAAAGGTCCGAGAAAAGAGACATAATTTAAATTACATACACTAATATTCAATGTCGGCCGCTAGAAAGAAATTAATTGTATTTTCAGTGTACACTGGATCTCAAAAAGCACCGATACCTTCATGACTTTGTACGACCTAGAAATGTGGGGTACATCTTCATAGAGTTAGATTTTTAGGAAGACATATAAATAGGGAATTTAAATATATGGATGAGTTTTTTATAAGCTCTGATTATTTTTGATATTCTTCTGGGTATTTTCTTTTAATGCCTACATGTTTTTTTCATTCACTTTGAGATTTCTCTATCATCAGATATTATGTGTGCCTGTGGGAGGCAGGAGATTTTGGTTGTAGTGTGATTCTGTTTTTGTTAGGTGTACATATTTTCAAGTTGATTAATAGCTGCTAATTTTTGCTGCAACGTAAAAATAACAAATTCATGCGGAAAAAATAATGATTACATATGACATCCGCTCCAGACCGAATGAATAAAAAACAACACACAGACTCTCTCTCTCTACCCACTCTCTCCCTCTCTATATATCTCTCCCTCTCTCTCTCTCTCTCTCTCTCTCTCTCTCTCTCGTGCGCAGGCGCAGGCACATACACAAATCATTTATGTACTGAGGTGCGTTAATTAATTTGGAGACTTAATTCAATTCGTTGGGCTGGATTATCTTGAAACAAAAGTCCTATTTTGCAATAGTTAAGTAAATCTGATCCCGTCAGCTAAAGAGGGAAAATAGAAGATTGCTTGCCGTGAGGCTTTCTGTGCCCAATTTGTAAGGCACACTGGATCAAACGGTGGTTTCTTCTAAAAAGGGATCGTAAGTTCGATTCCTGCTGGGGGAAGGTATTTTTTTTACTATATCACGAATGCGAAGGTCCTTAGACGTAATACACATTCTTTAACAAATATAAAGCGAAGTGTCGAAGTGCCCACGACGATAACCTTTTAAGTAATTAAAATACCAGATGAAAAATATATGCATTATATTATACTATATATATATATATATATATATATATATATATATATATATATATATATATATATATATATATACAATTAATACTGTTTTTGGATATAGAATGAGACAAACATATATATCGTTATATCACACAAGCACATACATACATATATATATATATATATATATGTATGTATGTATGTATGCATGTATATGTAACTGAAACGAGAAAATAGAGGAAAATGACGAGAATTTAATTTATTTTCTCGTATCTTTACGTAATTTCTAACATATACCTATTCAAATTGTTTTATATTTCTACAAATGGGGCTTCTCTGCAAGTACTGATTTTATTGTTCAAGGAATGAAAAGTAAAACACTTGGATCGCAATTGTTTCAAATGTATCCACCAAAAAATCGTTTATAAATATATATATTAAACAACGTTTAATAGATAACAAAATCTTTATCATTTATCAAATTAAGTATAGTTCCGATAAGTAACAGGAACTTCAATTAATTTATTGAACATCTATCTATCTATCTATCTATCTATCTATCTATCTATCTCTATATATAAAGAGAAGTAAACCAATCTTAAATCTGTAGTGCTTTAGCACTAAACAAGAAAACAATGCATCAAATCCAGGCTCAATTGTCCTATAGAAGAAATTAATAGTATATGTATAAATATATATATATATATATATATATATATATATATATATATATATATATATATATATATATATATATATATATATATATATATATATATATATATATATATATGTGTGTGTGTGTGTGTGTGTCTGTGTCTGTGTGTATGTGTGTGTATGCGTGCGTGTGTATATATATTTCATGAGCGCTGGAAACCTTTTCACTACTTTTCGATATATATATATATATATATATATATATATATATATATATATATATATATATATATATATCTGTGTGTCTGTGTCTGTGCGCAGGCGCGTACGTGTGTATTTCATCATATTTAATTGCACAAGATAGCTCGGGAGTCTTACATGAAATGGAACACAATGGAGGCATAAAATATTTATATTTCTGTCATATTTTTTTTCAAATACCGATTCAATCTTGGAACGGGAATATTGATATGACAATAAAACTAGATTTAGAAAAAAAAGGACGAAAATATAATTCAGATCGATATACGCCTGAGATAGGTAAACACCCGTCAAATGTAATTCCACAGTGTGAAACCTTCATCTCTTTTTCTGTTCTGTAAATAAATGAGTGCTATTTGGACTAATATCAGTCAGAGGTGGATGATCGCGTCTCTTCACAGCATCCTGCCTTTTGTTTCTTAGATATTACTCTTTCTTTCATTCATTCATTCAAAAACTTTAGATAGCTTACACAATATTTCCTCCACATCCATTGCCTGTATGTGTTACATTTTCTCGGTAATATTTATTTATTATGTTTCAGAATGTTCTTCTGGAGAGCCATAAACAATTGAAAAGTAAATGATTTCATCTCTGGCCAGTGTCTAGTAATTTTACGACTAGCTGTAAAATCTTAAAATAAGTTCTTCATATCGGCCAACCACTGAACAAAAAGGAATGAAATAAATAGATAAATACTCAAAAACTTACGAGGACAAGTGCCATTTAGCCGGATGTTTTAAAGTTCCGTTCGCAGTCATGCAGATACAGTAACAGTTACAAGTAAAGGTAGATCCGTTTCGGCCCGATTTTGGGATGCAATCATTCAGCAGAGAGAGATCCGTCAACTTTTAAGGAATGTCATCGCCGTGAGGTAAACATGGGCAGGGATGATTTTGAATTTCGCCCACAGCCGAAAGAAATTTGTCGTCTGTAAATCGCTCGTTGCATTGGTAGTAGAAATGTTCCCTACCTACCCACTTACCAACCAACATTCCTCAGTGCGTGGAAATAAATCCGGATTAATAATGTAATATATTGGATATAGGATTCTTGTTTTTTTTCTTTTCTCATTCTAGCTCGGATTTCACCTTTGTATGTCCTTGCGGGCATTTTTTATGCCTTTTCCTTTTTACGGTTGAAAAACATCCTGTAAGTTATTTAAAAGCAAAAAAATATTTTTAGATAGTATGAATTTTTCTAGAGTTAATAAAGATTTATTAGTACAAATCCTACTAATTAGCACACAGCTAGTGTGGAGAAGAGATGGATTCATAACTTTTCCCAATATTATTTGCGCATATCTCCGATTTACGATTCCGGGCCATATTTTTCTTACACTACCAACACGTGCAAGTTTATAAAACCTGGTATTGCCAAGTGACCCCCCCCACCATCTAGTTTAGACCCGTCTCGACTTTGCTTAACTTCGGTGATTGTATGAAAAGCAGTGTTTCAACTTGATGTCGATATAAGCCTTATATTTTAAATAATAGAAGATTTGAATTTACACGTTTTCTTTTAATTTTTTTTATAATCATGTATGTTGGTTTGGGAAAGGATTATTTGAAAACAGTGTAATCATGTTATACAACCGTTAGGTCGATTCTAACGAGAATCGAAACAACGTGGGGTGATTTAAGGAATCGGTGAAATACTGAACGAGATCTTTTGGGTATGCTTGCAATTTAGGACTTTCTTTCGGCTTTAAATATTCAGTTAATGGTATTGCAAGTATTGATTGGCAGATCATTATATATTTCACTTCAAGTGTCTGTTTGTTTGAAAAGTTGTCCAGGTTTAAGACCCGTATGAGGTAATAGTTCCCTGATCTTTACTACAGACATATGCAGTTGATACCCCGGTGCATGAAGTTCACTTCCAAATATCTTCCAGTGTTGATCAGCTTATCTTTCCACGGATCTAACCCTCACACCATTATGTACCTGTAAATGGAAGTTAATAACGTTTCATCCCCTTTAAACACATTCTAAATTTCATACAATCTTGATGCGCGGTCAAACCTTCAATGAGACTATTTACCTAGAAAATATATGGGAACTTACACTAACTCTAGACCCCAAATACAACTCGTGTATTTGTGCAATCGTTAACGTATTGGAAGACTGGTAATTTCCTTGTATCAGTTCAAGAAATATCTGTGACACTATTTGGCTTGCTAAAAGAGAGAAAAAAGAAAAGAAAAAGGAAAGAAAAAAAAGAAAGGCGAGAATTAAAATTAGGTGATAAGAAGCCATCACGAAAAGGACACTAAGCGGTGTTATTTTTATGACAAGGAGAAGTGGTAATTTTTTTATTTCCCATTGTCGAGAAGGCAAAAAAGAAGATACTGGAATTAATCTGATTTAGGTTACTGGGCGGGTGGAAATTCCAGGTTGGCCAAATAACCTCAGAAACAGAATTCTAAATAGATAAACATTGACTGTGTCGCAAAATGTTCATTTGGACCACACAAAGTTACAAAAACAAAAGACCAAACCATAATGTCGTTTGAAAAAGGCATCTGTTTTTTGTCGAAGCTGGCCGTAAGAAGAAGATCGGATCATGCATGGATTATTGCTGTCATGTCTGGGCTAGTACTCACAGTTTAACCATGATAGCGTTATAAAATAACCATTATGCTGACTTGTTTGAATGTGCATTACTTTCCAACGTACAACGTTGTCCTTTTGCGAGTCTATCGCTTTTACTATGGCACAAGTTCAGACCTTCAGATCTCGTACCCAACAAGACATTTTCTTCATGGCAAACCATGCGTATTTCCTTCGTGTTCTTTTGCTAAAAAGGAAGTCCTACTCGGGTTCTTTTCCAGAAACGTTCATCTGTGGAAGAAAAAACGGAGTGAACGCTTCTCTGACAATTAACTTTCCTCTTTAACCCTCCCTTACAAAGATATCATGCATTAACACTCTACCTTGAGGGGCGCTTGTACATTCTATTGAATTAACTAGAAACAAAACGTCTGCATATAATTCTAGAAAGACTTCAGGATTGCTCGAGACACATTATTTGAATGATTCAAGGGAAATTATGAGATATTTGTTGTTAATGTCTTTTTACCAAATTACTTTTTGGAGTATCACATAAAGAAAGGCGTGGAGTGACCTCCTGAGAAAGAATTGAAAATATCTATATGGTCGAATAAGCTAATATATGTATATATTTTTTGTTATCTCCTGAAGAGTGGAGGAGTGATTGCTGGAGGGTCTGTCTACGAGTGTTAAAAATAGCATCAGTTAAGTGACGATTTTTATATTTTTATTAATCCTATATATATATATATATATATATATATATATATATGTATATATATATATATATATATATATATATATTCACCCAGCATAAGAAAAGATATATAAATGGACAGAAAATTAAAAGCATTGCAAATTGAAGGCAAGTTTAAGAAAAGGGGCTATAATTAGAAGTCATCTTTTAAATTATAATGTCACTAGGCATTCTAATAGACGAGTCAAACATGTGTAGAAATTAAAGGAAAAATAATTAAAAAAAAAAAAAAGATATGTTTGTAAACTGGATTTTTTAAATGCCAAAACTTGCAACAATTATAGCAATATCTGAAAACTTTGTCATCAATGTTAGCTATAATAACATTTCCAAACAAAAACACCTTTTGAATAAATGCTCGGAAATTATGACACGTAACATAGACACTCATCAATTCCTTTGAGTTCATATGGGCCAGGATGAAAAAAGAAAATGTATATTTCATTTAAACCCTAGCAATACATTTCACTACACTTGCTTTTCTTCTCGTCGTTCTACGTCATCTGACGAAGAGCTTTTTATTTATTTATTTTAAAATAATACAGCCTCCATTAATTTAATTAATTTTTTTTAAAAATCGTTAGGATATCAATCGATCGGTATCAGATGAAGATAGCGTAAGGCTGAAGAATTACTGTGTTTTATATTTAAAGCTCTAAAATGTTAAATTTCAATTATTTATACGTGTATTGAGCACGTTCTAATGCTAGTATTTCGTGTTGTAATACAAATCTGACCATATATATATATATATATATATATATATTATACATTAATTGATTTAAAATATATTTTTTGCTACACAGTTCTAACCATGTTTTCAAAACTAAACTAAAAGCCCCGAATTTAATTTTGCAATTAAATTAAAAGCATTAGTTCCATTTCATCTTCAAGCGAATTTTTGAGGAAATTTTAAAATTACCGGGATTTAAAGACACAGCTAAAAATCATGTTTCCATGGTTACAGAATATTATACATTAATTAGACAAGGGATGTCTAGATTTTCCTTATGTCAGTATCATTGTATCAGTTGTTAGCTACAATTTGGTAAGGGGTAGGGATGTATTTTTTTCAATGAAAACTGACATCCGTTGAATGGATGTCGTCTGATTTTTTTTTTAAATTATTGCTATCTAGACATCCCTTGTCCAATTCAAAAAAAATACAATCATCTCATTGCGAAATGTTATTTCGACCGACGAAAATTCAACCCCGGGATATATATATATATATATATATATATATATATATATATATATATATATAGAAAGAAAAATATACGGAAAAAACAAACAAAAATCCTTATATGCAATTATGTGTTTTAATGTTAATATAATGTCAACGTCGGACCTTTCGGTC